GGCATTCAACAAGACCGTTTGGCTCAAAGGAATTTGAACTTATAACAGTTCAACCCAAAACTAAGTTTTATCACGGACTTAGACAACAGGGATTGGCAACACCACTCTCGTCTAGCGTATGTATTGTCCACCTCTTGTATTTGTGCACCGAACCGTGACGACTTGTAACCCTCTCGCTGAAGCCAATTTACCTGTACTGCGCTTGCGTGTGACCTAACAGACAAGTTTCCGGTATCGATAACCACGTTGTTTACCTAGGTGATGAGAGACCGAGAATGTGACACTGATTTGACAGATCAGTACACAGTGTAACAACCATGACTAAAACAATAGAAAACGAATGCATACACGTGATGATGTCGCAAGCATATCTGTTCATGTCAAGCAGCATCAGGTAAGTATCTGATCGGATGATACATCATTGTCAAATATGACTGACTTTTTATCCCGTGAAAGTTATTTAGATTTAGACTTTTTAATGAAAGAATTTACTGATAATGAACGTAAAACTTAATATTTCGGAGGTGATAAAAGACGTCTTTGGATATAGGCAGCTAGCTATATTTCGAGGGCATACACAGCACGCTAGAAGCACAGGGGTTCGTTACAAATGTCTAATACACATGTACATATACTATACTGATATAGGTCACAGCACATGTATGTTTATGAAGACCGTGACCTATATCAGTATCAAAACGGTATGTGTATTTTGTAACGAAACCCCTGTGGGGGAAGTGACTTAAAGGGTTAACTTTTAACAATAACTTTGTCCTATTACCTCATTTTAAATTTAAACCATTTATAAGAAAAATACAGAAACATCAGCTGACCTTTTGCCTTTGCGTGTTATTCTCGAAATTTTGAGATAGGTCATTCAATATATGTACCTAAACAATAGAACACTTTTATAAGTTTATATTTCTAGGCAACAATCAAAGGCATTTTTCAAACCTGAATTCATCCATCTTGGCTCCACGTACATGTATATCCTTTGTCTTCATTGATATAGTTTATACAGAAATATATTCACGATTTCTGCGACATGATTTTAGTTAAACATCACAGCAAGTTACATGACAGCCCGGAGCTAATTTTAATGAATTCATTGAATTAAATGTCAATCATTAGCAAGTATATGTATATCATATACATATTTTGGTGCAACTTATTCGAAATTACTCCACATGGTGCATTTTCCCAGCTCCTTTTTTTTTTTTGTATTCTGCGTTAAAAAATGTGACATAAACTTTTGTCCCAGCACTATGAACCAGGCTTAAAATAAAAATGTTTGTCTGAACCAGACTTTACCAAAAATGGACAAAATAGTTCATTGAAATTTTGAATTTCATTTAATCATGTTTCAATTCAGCATTTTGTCAATATTTAATGACTATTGAGAAATGATTGACTCCATAAAATGAGCATTGATTCTGCGAAAGGACATGTCTATTTGATATTTAATGTCTTTGCTGTAACCAAAATATTACACATTGTAGTATAATTTTTCTGGTTCCAGAAACTATATAGCAAGTCCAAGGTATTCAAATAATTAGGCACCAGTATGATTTAAATTTGAATTCCATCTTTTTCAGCTAACCAAAATGAAACTTGCTGTTCCAGGGACAGCTCCAGCACCAGTGTTCCTGTTGACAGCACCACTAGCTCAGATCTGTTGTTCTTCAGGTACCAAGCCCACTCGTTAAAGCTATTATGCTGTCAGCAACAATTTTCAGCATCACTTAAATCATTAATATATTCCTAAAAGATTGATTATATTCAACTTCTTTGAAAGAAGTGCTTAAGCTTTTTGTGACTTTACTCCAAAGAACTCTTGTTTGGTAACTTTTTATTTTTGTGTTTTGTGCCCTGAAGTAAGTGACTGGATGTTTTTTCATGACTTTCCATGCACACATTAAATGTACATTGTACTTATTGTGTGTTTACAACTGAATAAAAACTTGAAAATGAAAATATAACTGTTTTTTATTACTCACAGGTGACATATATGTAACAAGCATGAGTGGTGATATACAAATTGTATTATAATTCAATGTTAACTCTGATAAAAATGAACTGCATGGTTATTTGATTTAAAAAATCATTCTTCTGGTGTGGAATTTTGTATTAAACTTGTAAGGCTTTGAAGCATATTAATTTGCATACATCCGATGAAACACTCTTCTGCTGTTGATTTGTGTTAAGGTTTTGACAGTCTGGACCCTTTCTTCTTCTTTGGCATGCTGAAATTAGAAAAGATACATCAATCAAGTCAGATGGACAAAATCCATGTCAAATTTGGGAATCAAACCACAGCTGTCCTGTTCAATATCTGCCAATAGGCTGGTATATTTTGATTTGAAAATGTCCACCCCTGTGTGGAAGTGGGATGTACCATGTAACGACTAGTTATATGTACATGATAATATACCAGATTGTAGTTATGTAAACAAATTATTACATAGTTATGATCAATTACCGAGAATTACATGCATTCATGAACCCACCCGCGATCAGTAATCTAAGGCAAAATGGCGGCCATTATTAAAATACACTGATTAGCAACTGATTTCAAAATACAAATACTACAAAATCAGAGATATGGGTTCACTTAAAAAACACCCGAAGCAATAGAAAACATATAAATAAACAATTTGGTTTAGTCCGTATGTCAAAATAATCTATTTATTAGCAAGTTTAGTAGATCTCGATGGAGGGTAAAATGCAAGACGATGAAGGAAGTGAAATCACACGCTATTGCATCACGATGAATTTTGGTCTTTATTCAGAGCCTTAAAAATACACTTTCTAGATCGTCAGTGCGATCGAAATTGTTTTGTGTACATGATAATATACCAGATTGTAGTTATGTAAACAAATTATTACATAGTTATGATCAATTACCGAGAATTACATGCATTCATGAACCCACCCTCGATCATTAATCTAAGGCAAAATGGCGGCCATTATTAAAATACACCGATTAGCAACTGATTTCAAAATACAAATACTACAAAATCAGAGATATGGGTTCACTTAAAAAACACCCGAAGCAATGGAAAACATATAAATAAACAATTTGGTTTAGTCCGTATGTCAAAATAATCTATTTATTAGCAAGTAAAGTAGATCTCGATGGCAGGTGTGAAGCCATAAAATAATTCAAGTTGGCAACGCTGTATGTTTACTATAAACTTTCGCATTCTGCAACATTTCTATGGTATTCGACAAAACAAACATAATCATATTTAAACATAAGTTTAGCAAAGATCACTTACTTTGAAATCCAGACAATGTAACGGTAGAGATAGCCCAAAATATGTTACTTCTGAACGGCAATCAATTTCTTCGATGTTTGAAGCGGCAGGTTTTTTCCCCGAATCACGTAAATTCTCACGCTTTCTCGTAGTTTCTCGCAACATCAAGTGCACGGCACATATTTCCTATGCCGAAGAGGCAGTTGCCTTTCCCTCTATTCTAATTCCGTGGTTTTATTGATAGGTAACTGTTTGTACGTGATTTTTTGTCAGTACAGCAACGTATACGTAAACTACATAACGACGTAGTCTGAAATTATGTTAATGATTAATAATAAGTTATTGACAGAATTTCAGACTCCAGTGCTTGCATAACTCAACTAAGTATGATAGAAAGTTTAATTTGTGTTAAAAGATTATGTTCCATCCGGTATCTGATCCCTTTGGTTAAATGTGTTGAAGTTTTGTTTCCCTTATATTGTACATCTGTTTCATGACTATTTAGAGAAATCTTTCCCCTTCTGATTGAAACAAAGACTGATCAAATTCCTCTGCAGAATTTAACACTTAACATCATACCGGTGGCAGATTATAATTGTACATAGGATTACGGTTGCCTTCGAGCTAGAGGGAATTTCCCATTTGCTCAGTGGTAGAGCATCCGGCTACGAACCTGGAGATTGAGGGTTCAATCCCCGTTGGCAGCACAGTCTCTTTCCTTTTACAAATGGTGTCCTTGCATGGCATTGGCCCTTCCTGTGGTGACAGGGAGTTAGAACCTGGGTGGTGGTGTTCGAGGGCAAACCTATTTAAAAAGGGGGGAGTATACGTATTGTGGCAGATTTTAATTGTACATAAGATAATGGTCGCCTTCTAGCTAGAGGGAATTTCCCTGTAGCTCGGTGTTATATCGTCCAACTAGGAACCTAGAGATTGAGGGTGTGATCCCCGGTGGAAGCACGCTATGCTCTTTCCTATTACATACCAATACCTTTGGCAACTGGTTGAACCTTGGGTTCAATAAAAAGAACTGTTGCCTTAAGCCTAGTAAACATATCCTCAATGAAGAATGTTTACTAGTACAGCAGTAGTCAGTTGTATTAAAATAAAACGCTGAAAGTGATCGCAAAATATCCTTTAGCAAGGCTAAAAGCAAAAGTTTCCACTTCTAAGTTAAGAGGAAAGATTTTCCACTGTTGGCTAGGTAGAGAACAATGATTCCTGCATGCAGGTTTTCTTCTATACAGTAGGAAGTAGTTTTGACTTTTTATAGTTACCAAATAATTTTCACAAACCTATATTTATAACTTACCATGAATTTTTGTGGAACTTTCAAACTATTTCAATAACCCTTCTACAGATGACATTTTTTTTGTTACAAATACGGTCATGTGTGGCTGAAAAAAAAATTGCTGGCCATATCAGTGTTTTTTTTATTCAAGTTGGCTGAAAAAAATTCATTGTTGGCCATTGCCATACCATTCTTTAGCAGTGGCAGATCCTGTTTACAAACAAGCATTCATCATATCAATGAGTATATGAAGAACTGTCCCAGCGTTTGCTCATACTTGTTTTGTTGCCAAAAAATCGGTGTTATAATATCATGACCAATCAAGTCTTTCATATGCGCATATTTGTTGATTTGAGTATTTGTCCATATGTAACATTCCAGATAACAGAATGAATTTACAGGAGAATATTTGGATTAATGGAATTTTGACTCTATCCTGCTTGTTTTTTCAGTCATTCATGTGCGACTGCAGGGTGGGGATGGAACAACGACTGGGCGTGTTGAAGTGTCTCGCAATGGCACTGACTGGGGAACAGTTTGTGATGACTTATGGTCGGACCAGGATGCACAGGTTGTGTGTCGACAGCTTGGACACCAGTGGGGAACAGTAAGTTGAAATAATTATTCTGTGAAATTATGTATTTTGGTGAGCTGAAATTTCACAGAATTTTTTATTTACATATTATTTGTTATTTATGGGGACATGAATTTGTGGGGGGAAAAGTTTTTTCAGAAAATTTGATTTTTCAGTGTGATCACATTTCTTATGACAGTTGTAAAACTTATGTGTACTGGTTGTTTTGTTTCATGTAACATATAAATATATACACTGACGCGTACTGTATGTGTAGATTAAGAGTAACCATGATATCAATGAAAAATCTCTCACAACAATTAATGATTTCACGGCATTAATCTACATTAACAAAACTAAAGTACAGAATCAATGAACCATCCTTATTCTATTGAAAATTATGCTCCCATTCAACCCTTACCCCTAATTTTTCAGTTTGTAAAAAAAGAATGTGTGTGAGAAATGTATTTTTGAAGTAGTCCATTGCTGGTACTAGACTCTTAGCGAAGTAACAACCCACCCCCTCCCCTCTATTGATTGCTACCTTGCTGTAGTCAGGGGAACTTGCACTTTACCATAAAACAGAAAGCTATACTTAATAGGTACAACCACAACGGGCTAGTCGAGGGGTAGAAAAGCAATCTCCCATTGACTTTTATATCAAAGATTGTTCAATTAACCATTGGAGCACATGAAAAGTGTAATGAAGCACTGGATACAATAATGTGTATAGCACACACAATTGTGACTGTTGGGATCTTATCTTTTCCTCTCCTATCTTCTATTTTATGTTTCATCTACTTATTAGTTCCCATCAGAGGAAAAATCATCTATACGTTTTCATTATTCACTACAGGGTTAGATACTCTGCAATTTTTCATGGTAGTCCAGAGTAGTAAATTGAAATATTTCCTAGTTCTAAATCATTGTCACTATAGTCGTAGATCTGAATGCTGAAGGTACATTTTAACAAGAAAATGTATTTTAGAAGAATTAAGAAGGTGCATAAAAAATTACCCATGACAGTTCAGAATTTACCAAATGGGTTTCTGAAGTATAGGCTATTACAGTATAATTTGTAAAATGAATGGTAGAACTATAAATGCCTTTTGGTTGTACATATGTAGATGTGATGGTCCTATGGGGGAGGTCACCAACTACACCAAAGATATTTTCAAGACTTTGTCATTTCTGAATAAAGTTTACTCGTGTCCTGACAGCTCCAGCTGTAAATAATTTCCCTTTCTTTGATTATTAGAAGGCCCACATATTGTAATTTGGTGCAATAAATGTAGTCAAATATTCATTTTGCCCAAAATGCATGTTTGATTACAGAAAACATGTTTTCTTGGATTTGTGCACAGAAAACTTCTGTTCCCAAGACTAAACCCTTTAACCCCTATGTAACTTTAGTAGACTTAACCATGCATTGATATGGATGTGTCCATTATATTTGTGGTGTACGATGGTGAAAGGGTTAAATAGTTGATTTTTGCACCAAAAGCATGCACATTCCCTTGAATTTGTGAGATTGTGCATAACCAAAAAGATGTACTCTATTGGCCAGCAAACTTCTAAATAGTAAATTTGCACTCAGTTAGATGTTGTTTTCTTCGCTTACATGTCAGCTAATATACATCAATTTTGTGTCCTTGGTCTGAAAAATAAGTTGGCTAGCTGTTATTTCCTAGAAAGTAATTTCGATGCATTATTTAGTTGGAACGTTTGGATTTTTTCCTCCTTATTGACTATTCGTATATACATGTTTTGAATAAAAAACATGATATTTACATGTTCGTTGTTGTAGTCGCATTCCAATTCCCCGTTCGGAGAGGGCACAGGTGCTATCTATCTTGACAATGTGCAGTGTACAGGTTCGGAGAGAACACTTGACGGCTGTCAGCACAATGGCTGGGGCATTAACAACTGTCGGCACTACGAGGATGCTGGGGTCTCCTGTTACGACAAGTCAGGTGAGTGTCAAAGCTCAATGTCTTACAAGGTCCTTACCGTCAGGTGAATGTCAAAGCTCAATGTCTTACAAGGACCTTACCGTCAGGTGAGTGTCAAAGCTCAATGTCTTAGAAGGACCTTACCGTCAGGTGAGTGTCAAAGCTCAATGTCTAACAAGGACCTTACTGTCAGGTGAGTGTCAAAGCTCAATGTCTTACAAGGTCCTTACCGTCAGGTGAGTGTCAAAGCTCAATGTCTTACAAGGACCTTACCGTCAGGTGAAGGTCAAAGGTCAATGTCTAACAAGGACCTTACCGTCAGGTGAGTGTCAAAGCTCAATGTCTTACAAGGTCCTTACCTTTCTCCCCTCTTGGTACTGAATACATGTACACACAAACAGGCTCATTACTTATGCGGGGATAGGACGTTATTTAAGAAGAATAACCACACTGTCAATTTATGTTTCAATTCTTCTTGAATTTTGTGATGCATATTAGTAGCCTCAGGGGGGGTATTTAAATTAAATATTTTCTTTAACAAAGCAGTTTCTGACCTGTTTGAGTACAAAAACATGTTTTCTTTGCTCAAGTAGTGGATGTGGTCGTAGAAAATATGTGTTCTAATGGCTTAAATAGTGATTTTTTTACTCCAAAAGCATGCACATTCCGTTGCTATTTGGTCAGAATAAGTGGGTTTGTGCATAACCAAAAGTTAGCCTGCAAACTTCTCAATAGTAAATTTCCACACAGTAAGATGTTGTGGTTTCTTTGGTTACATGTCAGCTAATACAAAGCAATTTTGTGTCCTTGGCCTAAAAAATAATTTGGCTGGTATCTCCTTTTGAATATTTTCTTTTAAATACATATTTTCCTATTTCCATTTTTGGCCTCAAGACCTTTGCTGCTGGGATGATGAGGGCAGGGCCATTACACAATTGAATTCCTCATACCCTATATCTTTTGTAATTGAATCCCAATTTGGCCAATTATAATTCTTTTTTTTTTTTCTCTTTTCCCCCCAAGAGAATTTCAATTTTAGAGAAAACTTAAGAATCATGTATGGTTAAAATCAAATGGGTCTGATTTACTGTCAGGCAAAGTCATACAAAAACACCTAGCAATATGCATCACACACATCGTATATATAAACACCGCTTATAACAATACACTGTCAATCGAATATATATATAAACACAGCTTACAATAGACTGTCCATCGTAAATATATAAACACTGCTTACAATAGACTGTCCATCGTATATATATAAACTGTCCTTCTGTTTCGGCTGACATGTTGTTGTCTGACAGTCATTGACACATTAACATGCGTTGGAACATGCTCAACACAACAGTGTGTCTTTGACATTTGTTTGATGTCAGAAGAATGCTTTACCCGTCAGTGTGTCGGCATAGAAAAATACAGCTACCACACAAAACACAGTGAAGACATGTATATATGGATATCAGCTAGATGTTGAATTGATTAACCTTAGATATTTACCTTATAATTAACATATATGCAACAATAATAGTACATTATGTATCGGTTTTTCTGTCATGTTGACAGCTCCTTTAGAATTCGAACCTGTTAATGTTTATAAGAATTAATTATTATAATTTATAATATACCAATACAATGTAATGTTTTATAAGAATAAATTATTAGAATTTATATTTTACCAATAAAATGTAATGTTTTTAGGAATTGATACTATATCAATACAATGTTATATTTTTTAGGAATTAATTATAAGAATTTATAATATACCATTAAAATGTTATATTTTATAAGAATTAATTATTAGAATTTTCAATATACTATGCAGAGATATGCAGAAAGATGACAGGTTTTTGTTGCATCGACTGCACTGTTTCCCTCCATTAGATTACAGATCATCTTGCATCCCTGCATGTTTAGCAAAAAGGAATACTTGGTAGACATATATGTATTCCACTGTATGATTGCATGAGGCAATTAATATAATGGGGGGCCTCCTGTTGGAATGAGAGGTTTTCTTCTGTATCTAAATATCTTGATCAGATCAGGGAAACTGAAAAAGATTGATCTGCTTTTTCCCACTATGATAATTGGGGTACCAGGTAGTTTCTTTTTCTATTCTGTTGGGTTTTTTTGAAACTTCTTTGTTTTGATGTCACACTTGTTCTTTAGTAATATTCTATCAACTTGCTTATTTAAATGTTAATTGAAAAGTCGGAATTTAGAGAGGATCTGCTTAAGAATACAGATATTTCTTGCACACCTCTGCATGAATTACAATATTGAGAAAACTGTTACAATTACAAGACCATGTTCAATGTACTATATACTCTATGCTAGTTCAAGATAGTGTTTGTTGTTGCAGAACTTTCAGTAGACCCTTGAGAATATGTCCTTTTTTTACATCCTTAAATTAGCTTAGAATTTTGGGTGGAAGGACATTTGACATGTTTTGACCCAATAGATTTAAGAGAAAAGTATTTTGACTTATGGAATTGCTAAATGCTAAGGGACAACCGAAAGCTCTTTGCTGTCATCATGTTTATTAAATAGGGATAGATATAGTTATATATATGTATACATGTTTCAATCAAATATTGAAATTGTTTGGAATGAAGAACATCGCTGTTTTAAGATAGATTTTTGGTTCTTTTTAAATGCTTTTGATAAGTTTGAAATTTTTTGTGTTACTTTTTTTTCAGTAAAATATTGGAAGTTATTTAGAAAGAAGACTGCTTTTTCAGGGAAAAAAATGTAAAAAATTCTGTTTGATATGCAAAAGTATATCAATGTATCTATCCTTACCTGTTACAGTGAGGTTACAGTCACGTGGGCGCACTGATGTTGGGACAGTGGAGGTGCGTCTAGACGACGGATGGGTTCAGGTGTGTGATGAAGAATGGGGATATCCCGATGCTAAAGTTCTGTGTAAACAACTGGGATACAAAGATGCCATGTACCTTCGTGGTTCCAAGCTCGGCAAGATGTCCACAGACTCCTTAGCAAACAAGGCCTTGACCCGATTCAAATGTGCGGGTAATGAAAAAGAACTCATCAACTGCACACACAACACGATCGCAAGCAAATGCGGCACCATGAACAGAGCATCGGCCATATGTTATAACAAATCCAAAAGTGATGTTGATATGTGTAAGTATATACCCTGGGTTACGACCCGTTATTGTGTAAGATATAGACGTAACACTATTTACAAAATATAGATCCTGCAAAATAAACCATTTCAGCAAAGCCACAAATATTAGGGGCCGAAAAAAAATAAAACACCTGTACATTAATCTATGAGAGGTCTTGAATAATGATTTAAATGGTGTTTTGAGGTAAATGGATAAAAAAATATACATGTATTTAAATATATTAATTATTGTTTTTACAACATTACTTCAGCAATAAGCCCGTGCTTGGTAATAAGCCCACTCGTATATATAACAGTTCAGTAGAAATGGGAACTTATGCTATTTCATTGTCTTGTTCCGTTATAAGCCCATCTCCTACTTTGAGTCAGAGATTATGTGTTGGCCCTGCAGGAAAAGGGTAGTAAATGAAATCTACATAATTATACAAATGTATATCTAGAATGTGTAACGATATAATTACCCAAATATAGGGGAAAAGGCACTTTTGAAAAATATTATGTAAAATATTGAAGTCTTCAGTTTTAAAAAGTTTGAACTAACCAGTTTATAGATGTTTAGAAAGTTTCCTAGTATTCGTAGTTTGTGGAGAGCTGAACAACAAGAAACATATAGAAGCTATATATATAACCAGGTTGGGTGAGCTCTACCACATAAGATACAAATGTATTTAGAAAGTGTTCTATATGGGGAGTCGGTGGCAAGCTGAACCACAGCAGACAATTAACTTACTACTACCAGGTATACCTATAAGGTGGTTTGCTGAGTAGGCATTTTTTTTTATAGCTTTTAGCATTTATAATTCCTGAGTTTTTCGTTTTGAATTTCAAAATTAATTGTCCCAACCTGCAGGTCATTGATTATGTTTATATTATGTACATTAACTTCACATAATTAACATGTTTTCTTGTAAAATTTAATTAAGTTTTATTTATTGTACTGCATGATAAGTTACACCTAGAATATGACACATACCTGGACCCATATGTTGTACCGATTATTGCAGTGCTTGGTCTGCAAAGGAATGTTGGATATTCTTTACGTAAGGTTAGATAATAATCTACTCAATACCAAGAGTTCACTTTCTACCTTCAGTGTAATTACATATCCTGATTGCCAATAAATCTAATATAAACTTACAGCTTTGGTTCTGGTAAAACACTCGATCCATCTAGAAAGGATACACTTGTCATATATTATTACATTGGTCAGAGTTACATTTGTAATTTCATTTCAAATTCTTTTTATTAAATCAGGTCCGATGCTACTATTTTAATGCTTGTCTGTGTTTATCACAATCAATAAAAGTAATAATCTTATCTGTCTCTAAAAATTGTGTGAAGATACCACCTGTCTATAGTTACCACCTACATGTACCCTTTGCTATATGTGTACAGAGCTACCTGTCTATAGCTACCTCATGATTTAAGACAATCAATTGTCTATAGCTATCACCTGTCTATATCTACCACCTGTCTATATCTACCACCTGTCTATAGTTACCACCTACCCTTTGCTATATGTGTACAGAGCTACCTGTCTATAGCTACCTCATGATTTAAGACAATCAATTGTCTATAGCTATCACCTGTCTACATCAACCATTTTCTATAACCCACCTGTCTAAATATACCACTTGTCTATAGCTACCATCTGTCTATAGCTACCATTGATATAGCTACCACCTGTCCGAAGTTACGTTTTGGCCATAGCTTCACTGTACCAACTGTCTATAGCTACACCTGTCTATATCTACCACCTATCTATAGCTATACCTGTCCTTATCTACCACCTGTCTATAGCTATACCTTTCCATGTCTACCACCTGTCCTTATCTACCACCTGTCTATAGCTATACCTGTCTTTATCTACCACCTGTCTATAGCTATACCTTTCCATGTCTACCACCTGTCCTTATCTACCACCTGTCTATAGCTATACCTTTTCATGTCTACCCCCTGTTTATAGCTATACCTTTCCATGTCTACCACCTGTCCATAGTTACATTTTGGCCATAGCTGCACTGTTCCAACTGTCTATAGCTACACCTGTCTATATCTACCACCTATCTATAGCTATACCTTTCCATGTCTACCACCTGTCCTTATCTACCACCTGTCTATAGCTATACCTTTCCATGTCTATCACCTGTCTATATCTACATGTACCACCTGTCTATAGCTATACCTGTCCATATCTACATGTACCACCTGTATATACCTATACCTTTCCATGTCTACCACCTGTACATGTCTACCACCTTTCCTTATCTACCACCTTTCCTTATCTACCACCTGTCTTTAGCTATACCTGTCCATATCTGTGACCTGTCTATAGCTACCAACTATCTATACATGTATCTACTACCTGTCCATATATATATACCACTTACCCATAGCTGTCACCTGTCTATACATGTATCTGCTGTGCACCTGTCCATATCTACCATATGTTTTGAAACCACTTTTCCATTTGATTGATACTATTGTATAAAGGTTACCTGTCTATTGCTACCATATTTACATAGCTTATAGATAGATTTGACTTAAAAGTTACATACTATGCCATTAATTAAACTGTCACTCTGGTTAATTATTATATCATCACCACTCTATGTAACTAATGGAAGAAAACTTGCAGCAGAAAAAGTGCTGAAAGATTTCGTGACAACAGCAAATGATTAGCCATGAACAGTTTCTGACCATGCAATACCTTTGTGACATTTTAAACTATTGATCGAAAACGAATTGATGATATTAGACCCAGACGGAGTGAATTGTTAACACGATTGTGTCGATAAAATAAGTGTCTAAGTGTACGGGCATAATCCTCTGGGCTTTCTTCAGCACAGGATAAATATCAAATCAACTCTTTCTCAGGCATGCTAATTGCATCATAAAGCTGCAAAGTATCTCTCAAGGAACATTTCCATTTGTCACTTACTCCATTCGATAACAGCTAAGCAAAATCTCAACATGTTGTGCAATGATAAATTTGAAAACAGAAATTAAAAATTAAAATGTACCATTTGATTCACATGAGATTTTGCAGTTATAGAATATGAGTCAGATTTAACGATTTTCAGACGTAAGCACACTGTTATTATTTGTAGAATATATATGAGTCTCAAGATTCCAAGGTAAAATAATTTTGAAGAAAATTGATATTGATGAATGTACCACGCACGACTTGACCAAATTTAAGAAATTACTGGGAAATCATAAAGTTTGCTTGACATTTGTTTTAATAAGACCTCACTATTGGCACAAGTTACATTTTAATAAACAGATTTTGTTTAATAAATAAACCTTTATTTTTACAGCTTTTCATGTAGATCTATTGAATGGTTCTCGGCACTGGGGAGAAGTAAACGTCCGTAAGCATGGTATTTGGGGTCAAGTTTGCTCCACTGGGACCGAATGGAACGATCTGGCGGCAAGGGTTGTGTGTATAGAGCGAGGATTTACTGATGGAAAGGCCTATGGAACTGTCAATGAGACTCTTCGTCCAATTTGGATAACACAGCTGAACTGCAGTGGGAAAGAATCTAGTCTGGAATCTTGTGTGAGCGTGTCAGACTCCTGGGGTCGTCCAGTGCATTCGTGTCGTGCTGCTTATGCCCTATGTTTTAACAAAAGTGAGTCCTTGACGTCACTCTATTTCCATTAAATGAAATAAGTTTTTACTTGTATCTTATAGATTAATCTGGTCAGTCCATCTGAATATATGTTTTCATGATCTTTGAAATAACTTTTTCTCCTTGTGAACCAATTAACTTTTAGCATGTGTTGTCTTTATTGCATTTATTTTTTATTTTATTATTTTTTTATTTATAAATTGAGGGAAGAAGTTTTCATTTTAACATGGCTTTTTGCCAAAATAAAATGAAACTAATCGACAGGTTTCATTAGTCCTCTATCAAATGGAAATAAGGTTTAAGTATGCCTTTTATCACACAACCTAGGCCGTTTTTGTTCAAACGGTCGGACCACAGTTGTTCGTTTATTAATCAAGGTCAGACCTATTTATCTGATGCTGCTTTCAGGCGAGCCTTGACACAGCCTTGCAAGGCCTGCATAATCATTTGCAGGTCCTTCAGGATTTATACCCGATATTGTTACATTTAAAAATGGACAAACCGGTTGTTCCGCATAAACAAACAGGCCCCAAGAATTTATGTTGATATTTTGAATTTTTATTTGACCATCATCAAGGTTTCAATAACACCGATATGTTATCAGACATTTTGTGCTAAATTTAATACCATAATTATTTCTCCTCTGACATAACAGTTGAAAAGTTGTATTATTGTGTTAATTTGCCCAGTGTTAGATTGGCCTGTGTTAATTTGGCCTGTGTTAGATTGGCCTGTGGTAATTTGGCCTATGTTAGATTGGCCTGTGTTAATTTGGCCTGTGTTAATTTGGCCTGTGTTAGATTGGCCTGTGTTAATTTGGCCTGTGTTAGATTGAATTGACCTGTGTTAATTTGCCCCGTGTTAGATTGGCCTGTGTTAATTTGGCCTGTGTTAGATTGGCCTGTGTTAGTTTGGCCTGGGTTAATTTGGCCTGTGTTAGAGTGGCCTGTGTTAATTTGGGCTGTGTTGATGTGTTAGATTGGCCTGTGCTAGATTGGCCTGTGGTGATTTGGCCTGTGTTAGATTGGCCTGTGTTAATTTGGCCTGTGTTAATTTGGCCTGTGTTAATGTGTTAGATTGGCCTGTGTTAATTTGGCCTGTGTTAGATTGGCCTGTGTTAGATTGAATTGGCCTGTGCTAATTTGGCCTGTGTTAGATTGGCCTGTGTTAATTTGGCCTGTGTTAGAATGGCCTGTGTTAATGTGTTAGTTTGGCCTGTGTTAATTTGGCCTGTGTTAGATTGGCCTGTGTTAATTTGGCCTGTGTTAGATTGGCCTGTGTTAATTTGGCCTGTGTTAGATTGAATTGGCCTGTGCTAATTTGGCCTGTGTTAATTTGGCCTGTCACATTTAATTATTATGTATTTTATGATGTTCTACTATCATATGTTGTAATGGTTAATTTGCCCTTCTTGCAGAGGGTGGAAATTGCAAAAGTTAAACTGTGACAAAAATGTCCATTATACAATATATAAGAGTATTGAGTAATATTGATATTGCATATATACATCCTTGTGTTCAGTGCCACAACTTAAACTGGTCATTTTGGAATTTTTGAAGTGTTACACGAGTGTCCTTTTGTGTGTTTTCTTAGGTGTGACGGTCAGTTTGGCTGGAGGTGGAAGCTACTTCGGACGTGTACAGGTCACATACGACGGTGTTACTGGAAGCGTCTGCGATAAATCCTGGTCGTCTAGTGATGCCAGGGTGTTGTGCAAGTCCATGAAAGGATTTGCTGATGGAGAACCAATATCTGATTCCTACTACGGGAAAGGCACAGGTCCAATCATGATGAGTGGTCTGGGGTGTTACGGACAAGAAAAATCCATTCTTCAGTGTAGGAATCATGGCTGGATGGTGTATAACAACAGTGATTGCTCGGACCATTCTCGCGACGCCTCCGTCATCTGTTATAAAAATGGTAAACTTTCATAAACAGTTGAACTGTGTAACTGCTTATATATTTTTGAATTATGCTGTACTCAAAATCTTCAGCAAAAAGTTTGGAATAACAATCTGTCTAATATATTGGAATCTATTGGAAATGAATTACATGCATTCCTTGTATCTAGATGAATTCTAGTTATGGATCAACTCCTAGCATGAATAATGCTCCTTTCTACTTTTGAAAGATATCAAAATATCTTCCTTTAGTGAAATTTGTCTAATCAGATTCCTGTATATTCTGTCATCCTCTTGTATAAGCCAACAGAGATAATGCTGAAATCTTACTTCTCAAGAAAATTACAAGATAAGACCTGTGTATTCTGACAACCTGTGTAATCTCACAAGTATATTGCATCCTACATTGTGTCAGATTTGACAGGTTTCAAACAAAAAAAAATCTCAAGCTACATCTTTTTTATAAAAAAGGTAATTTTGTCTTGCCGCCACGAAGTAGCGGAAACGAGACTACGGTATTGCTTTTCTGGCAGTGGCTGCAACATTAAGTTTTGCGTTTAAGTTAGTTTCACTGAAAGTGTAAGTGCTACACCAACCAAACTTGGACCATAGATGCATCTTAAGTAGTACATCTCAACCCACGCATCAAATGCTGGGTGCGGCCTACCTTTCAAAGTCCATTGAATGTCAGCATCTCCATCAACATCAAGTTTTTGTGTTTAAGTTAGTTTCACTGAAACTATAAATGCTAGACAGATCAAACTTGACATGTGCATTGATGGTAAAAGCATGGCACAGGGCAGACTAATAGAATCTCTGACCCCCTTGGGGGTCTTACGGGGTGATATAGGGGAATCTCAACCACAAGGGTGGGGGGG